TATAAAACCATATGGACAATGGAGCACATACCAGATTCCGTCGCACGCGATGACCATGAAATCATGTTCTTCGTTGAGTGTGAGTACTTTGACGTCGGGCTTGGCGGAGATCATTTGGTCTTCTGGGGAAAGAGTCTTGTTCCTTTTGTAAAAGTGATCCCCTAGAAACCACAGGTTGCCAAAGAGTCCGTATGAAATAAATACATAACTCATAATGGCATCTATCTTGAATTATGTCCATATATATTTTGGGAGGTTAATGAACTTGGAGTTGTAAATAGATAAAATTTTTCACCCACTGCTGTGGATATTGGGGGTAATTCTAGCACTTTCTAGAACTTATGTGGATGAAAAAAACGATACCCTAGTACCCTGGGTGTATAGCTAAATCCCACACTGTAGTGTTACCTATGGCCCTGGAGAGGTTCAGCCCCCCGTTGACACGGCCATCCATGGTGACCTTCCCGCCAGCGTTCTTGATGCGAGCCAGCTCCAGCTCATCCTCAGGCTTGTGGTCGTAGGACATGTCCACGGCCTTGCCCTTCTCAGAGAGCACGCAGCGTGAGTCACCTGCGTTGGCCACGATCAGCTGCTTTCCCCGGATCAGGGCCACCACTGCAGTAGTGCCACTGTCAGAGCCCGGCTGAAAGAACAGGGATCCGTTTAGTTTACAAGGATTGGAACACGGGAAAGGGCCTTTCCAAGCCTCTGGGATCAGAGGACTTCCCCAATTCCTTTGGCCAGAGAAGCACCCAGATTCCAGACTGACATCAGAGCCAGACACAGAGGTCTCCAAAATATCAAACAATCACCTCTTCTTTCCCATCCATGCCAGGCAGACACATCTCTTCCTCATCAAGCTCCTCCGTGTCACCTTCCTCATCTCCTTCACTGCTGTATTCCCCTTCATCATCCTCGCTGCAATCCTGAAAGGATTTACTCCAAGCTCGTCTTTGTGTCATGGTGACAGGGGTGTGTGTGACGCAGTTTGATTTGTTAGCTTTTCTGTACATTACGCCCCCCTGCACAGGACCCTGTCCTCACCTCTTCCTCACTGCCCCCGTCTTCAGACTCATCCTCTGCTTCCTCAGACTCATCACTATCCTCAAAGAACTTTGACTTGGTCCCTGACTGGACCTGGGTGCTGGAGGATGAGCAGGAAGGCCCAGGCTCACCCTCCACCTTGGAGGCCTTCTCCCCTGGGGCCTCCCCAGTTGCGCCTCTCCGGCAGGCACGCATCTTAGAGGACCCGCTGCTCCCATCTGTACTCTCAGGCCTCTCCTTGACGCCGCTGCTGCCGTCCACCGCCACCACCCCCGAGCTTTCAGATTCAGCCTCGCCGTTCACGCCCTTCTCAGAGGAGGGCCTCTCACCATCCCCTGCCTCCTTCTTGCCACCTGGGCAAGCCTTCTTCCCGTACCTCACGGAGTTCAGGTTCTGGCCATAACGCACCAGCAGCTCCTCGATGGTCATGGTTGCCTCCTCGTGCAGGAGGGCAGCCTCCTCATTGTCCACTGGGGTGAGAGGGGAGTAAACAGGATGCCTTACAGCCATGACATCTGCACCATGAATCCAAATAAATGTTAATCAAGCATTACTTTTATTCAAGGTCAATTAGAAAAGGGTCTGCATTGTCCTAGTTCTCCTAGTTTCTATGGAGATTGTTTGCTTGTACTCACGCCTGCTGATGATACCCATCATCGTTTAATGAAACAGTATTAGTCTGATAAATATAAATATAAATAAAGTCAGATTTCATCCCCGCTGCAACATTCTTATGTGGATTGTTCCCACTGGTGTATTGTGTTCACTGCAAGTAGGTACTTTTTCCTTGACTTAAAACTACCGAGCAGGGCATAAACTTTGCCAAATGAGACAAACACTGGTGTCAACTTCGGAGTACTGGGAAAAGAACTAGTGGAGGAAAAATCGAGCAGATGGAATTGTTGTATCTCAGTTACATTAATTACATTTTTGCATGCGTCTCCAGATTTCTAGATTGGAGAATTCGATCGATAACTGAAGTACTTCTGCCTAACATTGCTGGTGTGCAGGGTGAAACTTGCCAGCGCTTATTAGTAGGATAACATTACAACTTTTTCTCATTCTGTGAAACCAAAAGATTGATTATGCTAGCCAGATTTGATAAAATTATAAACGTCGCAGGTTGTACAAGTAAAATCATAAATTCACTGTCAGTCAGGCAAAATAAATTGCTCATCATTAATCATATCCACTGCTCTATCACAGAACACTTCTCAGGATCCAATCATTTTCATCATTTATCACCATAAACTTGGTGGTGTTGCACTTAAAATAGAGATACCTTAAGTGTTTTTCCTTTTGGTTGTTAAGGTCTTTTGTGCAACCGTTAAGGAATCCCTTAAAGTTCCCATAAGTACAAGACCAAGACAAGGGGAAAAATGTAAGTATTTAAGTGAGCATTAAGGAAACATTAATTCTGAAAATCTTAACTCAAGGTGTTTTATGCAACCGGCCCCAGCCCTTTAGAGGAGCATTCTCTGTGTGTGATTACCATCATCTTCTTCAGCCACCCTGTCCTTGGCCGTGTCCTCCTGGGGTCGACCCGCGATCTGGGATAGCTCCTTAATCACTTCCTCTGTGGTGATCTTGTTGTCAATGGCCAGAAAGGCATCTTCCAGGGCCTAAATCACAAACACCTGCTATGAGATACTGACCTCACTCCCTGTTGTATTGCTGCCCTCTATGTTGAGAGTGGGCACCCATTAGAGTTTAACCACCTGCACCTGCAGAGCCATTCTGACTAGGTAAGTCCTGCCAAATTTAGGCACTGCTCCTTCATCCCACACTAGCACTTTATCCAAAAGCATCCCAAGCCTGCTGCTAAAAGGAGGATGTATGAAACATGACAGGTGATGCATTAAGCACATTTAAGGCAGACTACAGGGAGCTGAGTGCTACAGCCATTATATGCTGTGTTCCATTTGAACTCGAAAATTCCAAGTTCCTAGTCAGAAACTGCAACTGGAATGCCCCCTTAAGTCTGAATTCCAACTCGTGAACTCTATAATTGACACATCCCCAACCTCAGAATTCAAGATGGCTGCACCCTTTATCAATAGAAGTTAAAGCTGTAGTTTTATACTGTTTATTAGCACTTGCGTCTAACAGGATAACTTGCTCAGCCAGGCAGCTTGTCGGATTTAAGGTAGTCTGGGTTAAATGTAAGTCAATGAAAATAAAGGCCATTTAAACCGGGGTAAATTAAATCATACTAGTTATTTTGAAACAGGTCCCTGGTATTGCTAAATGGCTTTCCGACTTGCTGTACTGAAATGTCGTTAACTTGGGTGTGATTTCATTCCGAGGTCTGAGTTCTGACCTCCAAGGTAAATGGAACGCAGCGTTAGCCCCGGGACATTCACCACGACAGCCACACACCCAGGTCACATGACTACGTCTAACCCACCTTCTGCAGCTTGCCATCTTTGTACGTCTTCTGGTCCTTTATGATGTCGGGCAGGTATTTTGAGCAGTAAAGAGCAACCTCTTCACCTTTAAAGACATGAATTGTTGCCTTGACATGAGTTTCTTTTCATTTAAACAAGTCTGACTTCACAGCCATTAACTGCAAACAAAAAAACCCAGTCATACAAAAAGCAGTCTTCATCTTATCTATTCAGTGTACCCAGTATTAATGACCACATATAATGAACACAGGTCACCTTTGCAGAATAATCATATACACAGTTCTGTCAGTTTACTGGAGTCATATTTTGTAATAAGCACTATGATCCACATACCTCCATGTCCATCATAAACCGCAAACATGGCAGTTTCCTCATCGAGGTCTGGGATGCAGTTATGGGCGTCCTGGAAACAAACCAACTTAGCAGAATGGCGGAGGGAAAAGAAACGCTAAAGCCTATTTTCATCACAACGCTATAGATCAGGCTAATCACTCAATCTTTAGCAAATGTATGATTCTGAAAAATTATATAAAGCCCTGAGGTTTAACAGGTCCTGTGGCTCCTCTACCGAAAAACTGACAGAACTACTTAAGTTGTCAGGTAAGTTTCACACTAAACTTTTGACTGTTTAAAACAAGGTTAACATAAAGCACAATCCAGACACACACTTCAGTAGTATAACCAAACACTCGTTTTGCATAAAAGTCTAAATACTAAATCGAAACTAATTATTTCAGCTAAACTCTATACCCAGTAACGGTGATATCTTTTCGGATCATTTGGAGAAAATTAGTTAATGCTTACCTCCATGGACACTCGCCAGCCTTGCATGGCCGCGAAGCCGTAGCTCATGCTTTTGTTACCGCCATCGGCGGTGGATTTAACCGTGTTTGGTTGGGACAGATAAGCCCCCATGATGGAGCTGGAATCAGACCGCCGGTCTCGGGGAGTGCAATCGCTGGCCGGAGTCAAAGTAATCACACACAAAATGTATATCACTGAGTTCAGCTGCTTCCTCCAAGGTCGTTTTCAGTCATCGCACTCCTGTCACCCCGTAACGTTCAGCTTTCTGATGGCACGGTCGATATGGAGGCACCACGAAGTTAAATTAACACAGATAGCAGCTTTGTATCTTAAAAAGCGGCGGCAAGCGGGACGTCTTCCAGAACAGAAGGTGCTGCAATTACGTTGCTTAAACGTAAAGCCGCCCAAACTAACTCACTCCAAAGGCTTAAGATTTAGTCTAAAATTGCACTTAGTTAAAAAAACGTGCCACTAGTAAGTAAAAGCACTGTAAATAAAGAGGAAAAAGTCGAGCACGTGTACTCCAGAACACAACCAACTACCTCTGAAAGTGAACCGGGGGCGTAAAGGAAGCGGAAGCGGGTTCATTGAAGAACCGGCGCATGGCTATTTACACCGGAAGCAGATATACGATTTCACTAGCGCGCCAAAACATGACCCGAGTGACATTTGAAAAAAGGCGACTGCGTATTGCTATAGGCCTACTGGAATATTAGAAAAAAATATGAACATGCATTATCAACGTCTCAATTTCTAGTATATGTAATTTTCATGTATATTCAGCAAAAGTGTTCCACCCATTTGCTTCCTATTGGCGCTGCATTTTTCTCGCGAGTTTATAGCGAAATCTCGTTATCCGGCCTCGCTTTGCACCATGGAAAATGGCGGTCCAATGGGTGTCAGACTGATCCGTAGGCGTGACGGCTAATGCTAACGCTAAGGTTAGTACTTTATTAATACCAGGCGCTATCTACCCATCACAGTCCGGACAATTAATTTCATATACCTGCAGTGAAATATATTTAGGCTTGAATCAGACGATTTACTTTTGAAATAGAAATGTCAACTTGCGGATCTACTATGTTTTATTAGGTAGCTTTAGGTAGAAATCGTTCGTATTTGATTGATCCGTAAATGACTGTCTTAAATAACCCAAAAGAAAAACTTTCCATGCTTAAGCATATTAAATAAAATAACTGTCTAGTTATGACAAATGCCCCAGTTAATTTTCTCTCACATTAGCCAGAGCTAGCTATACTGTTTCTGGTGAGCTGACGAAACGTTCGCTTGTATTATTATACAGCTCCAAGCTAATGTAAGCGTTTTAAGTCCTAATGTTTTGGCTCAGTGTCACTGCCATATGTTCATTAATACTCGACTTGAATTAGCTAACTTGTTGCTGGTACTATTGTTGGTGCACGTGTCTAAATAAATCACGCAAGACACAAAACGCATACGCAGCATGAATTATTACACACTCATTAGGTATGAATTCGATTCTTGTGACAGGATTGACTGGCATCTGGATACTTTTAAGTGTTAGGCGGTATGTGCTACGTGATCATTTTCGGCAGTGTTCTGTCGACGTGATATGAATGTAGTTGGTGCGTGTATTTAGCAGAAAATATATTTTAAATATCTATTAACGAATTCGCTCCAGTGATTAAAAGTGTATAGAAACGTGGTTCTGTAGTTTTCGTTAGTCAACTATTTGTTAAACAGCACTGATGCTGTGTTTGAAGTGTAGAGGTTTAAAGAATTGTCGTTCGTATTATCGTATCGTTTGCCAGGTTGTGGTTTTTAATGTCTGGATACTTGTCAGCTGTTGAAGGTTTTAAGGCGAGATTTACTACACGCGATCAGTTTTGTGTTACTCTCTGCTTGTTCTACCCAATAAGGTCAAACATGTTTTCCATTTCATTGTGTTACACCTCTGACTTGACGTGACTTGAGTGCGTGGTACTTTCGTTTTAGTCTTTAAGTGGGTGGCAGCCCTCTTGAGCCATGAAGTGGTCGTGCTGCTGGCCTGTGCTGCTCTGGCTGTCCCTGACGAGTGGCTTCCTTCATACGACTGAGGATGACAGCACTCCTGATGACTGGATCCTGCTCCACGTGGTGCAGGGGCACATTGGCTCTGGGAACTACAGCTACCTCCGGCTTAACCACGATGGCCGAATTGTCCTGCGCCTCCGGAGCCTCAAGGGGGATGCTGACATCTACGTGTCTGATAAGACACTGCGGCCCAGCTTCGACACATACAAACTGCAGTCAACCACCTGTGGCCCAGACATGGTCGTGGTGCCCATGGACTTTGCACGGCCAGTTGGCATTGGTATTTATGGGCATCCGTCACACCAGGAGAGTGAGTTTGAAATGAAGGTATTTTATGACCAGGTTGTCCCAGAGGACCCATTTCACAAAGGCTCTTATTTCTCAGAAGAGGTGAACAAACAGGAGAAGAACATTCATGTCCCAGAGGACGGCTTCCAGGAGGAAGAGTCAATCCTCTGGACTATTCTGATTGGCATTCTTAAAATAATACTTGAAATCCTTTTTTGAAGGCCCGTCTGTGGATGTTCACACCTACCAAATCAGCAATACTGTGAAATTACCAATGTGCAAGTAAACTAAACACAGCTGTGCACTACGTTCACCAGCAGCAGACATTTAAAAGGGCAAAAACGCCTCTTTAGAAATGAGATGAGAAGGACCTTTTGCATTGCATATATTTTCTTAAATGAGACTTTCTGGCAAAGAATTTCAACAGGTGATTGTTGCCAGAGTTTGGTTCTTCTGCCATATAAACCATCAGACTTGACAATCTCTCTGTTAGCTGAAGATTAAATCAGGTTATCAATGGTATGGTTGCAAAGACCTTATTTCCTAACAGAATGTCACTTCCACTGCCATCACTGATCTTGTCAAGTTTTTATTCTTTGAATGATACAATGCAGAAATCAGTGTGTCATCAGTATTTTGGAGGATGAACACAACAGAGTGCCTTCTAACATCAATATTCATGGTGAATGAACATTATTCATAATTTAGGGTTATGCTTGTCAATAAAGACACAGGTTGGTCACTTGAACTATGAGTTTTTGGTAAACAGTGCTTGTTGTCGTTTGTGGAAGTGCAAATTGCATAACCTAACATTAAAAACTGAATAGAGCAGCTTTGGGCCACAGCCAGGAGAACAGTGATTGACAGGGACAGCTGCTGTCAGAAGTGCCAGTGTATTGGGGGCAAGACCTGTCAGTCTGAGAATTACCTGTCAAGCAAAACTCTTATTGCAGATCGTTGGAAACTTTTTGTTTTTGTAAAACTGTCCTTATAATGGGTAGTGTTGATTAGATTGTTAACAGTGAGGCTTAGAAAGGTTCAATTTGGCTGTTATCATTGATTCAAGTTCTAATGTTGGTGAGAGTATGGGCGGGGGGTTCAAAATAAGGTCTTTTGTTTACTCAGGGTCATGAAATAATTCTTTTTTTCTCTATTGTCATCTTACATAAATGGTTTGTAATGTTTCTATGTGTTTATAAAGAATATGCATTTAAATGCATTTACCAAAAAGAAAAAAAACAAATAATGTCAAACATTGCAAAAAATAACTATTAACCATATGACCTTAATGTCTAATTCCACATTAGGAATAACTCCATTTCTGAAAATTGTGATGTTTGCACCAATATGAGTTTCTTACTGTGTAGAAAGGTACTGGGAAAAATACCCCAAAATGAAACAGTGTTGAATGTTAAGTAAATAACAATATAAGCTGTAATATTACCAAATAAATGTTATAATTTTTTTTCAACATGTACCAAAACACTATGTGCCTATTTTGTTAATACCACCATGTAGTCTACTTTTGCACCAGTCAGCTCAGCTGGCATTTGTTCCAGAATCATCTTTGTAGACCACCAGTGTGTGGGACTAGGGTTCTCCTTTTACTGGTAAGAAAAAAATTACAGTATGTTCTATTTTGACTACTATAGAAACAATGCTAAAAAAACTTTTTAAATACACTAACATGTTAAATTATGTAAATTGACACCGTATCTTCATTCTGTCAAAAACATTTTATCCATTTTCAAGAAATGCGTCCTCATGCATAACCAATGCAGCGCATGGAGACAAAGCGGAAAAGCGTGGAAGCTTCTGAGCTTCTTCAGAGCGCGCCCACGTGTACACCCCAGCACGCATGCGCATACCAATTAGTTTATTATTTATTAATAATAAATTATTTCAACGCGGGAAACACTTATTATAATAATAAATAAGAGCAGTTTTGGCCTACACGGCGCAGTGGTAGCGAGTGGTTAACCAGGATTTGTGGCAAGTGCGGTTCTGAGAGAGCCCTGAGAATCGGTCCGCGTCTTTGATGGGCGCGTCGCTGCCAATATGGCTGCGCTTCTGCCCTCCAGAGCCTGCGACAGCAGCCCAGCCACGCCGGGAGCGCACTCCCTAAAGGTAAGTATCTGCATAGGGCTTAACAATGGAAAGCCGAGAGCAGCTTCAAAACGCTGGCCGGCTGTTTTGGTGGGGGGGGACTCGAGGTGAGTTTGCGATAGTCTGCGGGTTTCTTCCTCTTCGTGTTTTGGACGCTAAGCGACCCACGGTCCTGCACGGAATCCGTTAGCCGAACAGCCAGCGCGGGTCTGAAAGAGACGATCCGGCGTATGGCTTGAGTGAGCGCCATGACCTTTTGTCCCGCCGGGGTACCACAAGCAAGCAGCGGTAATGGGAGTTTTCGCCCCATTATCGCCAACAGCAGCACGTAAAAGTATCTATAACCCCCCCGTAACGATAACGACGTGGCTTCACGGAGCAGCTGCAGGTACGAGTAGACTCCACTGTGTTCCCTGTGTTTACCAGCGGGAGGGTATATCGAACAAGGACTACCGAAACCGGATAATTATAGACTTTTTTTTTTTATTATTTAGTCGGTCATTTTCCCGCCTTGATGCCTATGTACGTCGTTGCGTCCAGCAGCTCCACCGTAATACGGCGGTTAGACGGTCCCTCTGTAAGCCTTGAGATTTTTTAGGTGTACCAATCAGTGGTTTGCAGCTATAAGGCTAACCAAAGCTGCAGCATTGTCCCTGGATAACCCAGTCAACGCAGGAAAACCACGAGCAAAATAGCACCGTAAGGCTACTGCTGCTTTAATGAGCAGGGCCTGATATGTTAAAAGATAGAACTTACGAACGACGTAGCGCTAAGAAGGTTTCAAGAAACTGGGCCCAGAAACTTGACCGATGTTTTCGTAGTCCGGTCAGTTCAGCTGCACCCCTTGACCCAAATGTCCTTGTGATGGATGAAGCATAATCTTTAGGCGAATAAAATCCCATTAAATGTTGAAAACATAATAATTTGGCTAACAAGTCCCTTACCCCTTTCAACCCTATTCTTTTTTGAGCGTTTTTCTATCCCTTTGATTTTAGGATAGTTGCATTTTATTTACATGAGTTAGCCACATATGCTGTATGTTTTTGTTTTCAGCACAATTCAGTGCTACGCAGATATGTCATAATTTGATGTATAAATGCCAATATAGTCTTGGTATCATCCTTTTATGAGGGAAAAAAAGCTACTTGAGTTTACTGAAAGTTACGCGCGAGAGGTGTTCCAGTTAAGCAGTGAGTGAGTTCTATTTCGACTGTTTTGACGGAACTCGACATCAAACATAACTTTTGTGAATAAATATGAAAATATTGAGTAATTGTGTTCCTAATAGAAGGGGAAAATATTTATAATTAGGTGGGGGTGAGTAATACATGCAGTTGTCAAATTGGAAAATATTTCAAGGGGGATATAAATTAGAATATGTCTATACATAATATACATTTTAATTTGGATCGATTAGATTATAGAGATCTTATCGAGGATGGTGGGGTTATTTTATTGTTGTATTTCTTCAAGACCTTTGATAGAGTGGAGTTTCAATTTCTTTTGGGTGCCCCTGAACTTTTTGGATTTGGGAATTGTTTTGTTAATATAGTTTCAGTGTTGTAAAAATATATAAGTGTGATGTCATTGCAGTGTGGGACAACAAATGGATTTCATGTAATACAAGGTATATTCGTCAAGGAGATCCTATTAGCCCCCGTCCGCTTTATTTTAGCTGCTGCATTATCATTATGTAGTAATGTTTCTTAAAACATGAACATAGTTTGCGGTTTATTTTCCTGTGTCATGTATTTCAGCTGGTTGGAGGTATTCATTTTCTTTTCATTTGTGATTTTGAGCCCATGAGACAACCTGTTAAATTATCTAATTATCATAAACAGATGTTACTATATTGGAAAATGTTGTATTCACATAATTTCACTCCCCACATTAGTCCACTTTGGAATAATGGATATATTTTATGGATGAGATAAGGAACATGCACTGATTACAGTGCATTGCCATACCCATCACACAACAAACCACCTCAGGGATGAGAACCTGAGTGCAGCCATGCGATGGGCGATGCCTCAGCACCACACTAGTCCAAATGGGCCAGTGAGTTTTTCCTGGAGGCTGGAGTTTCAATCATGCTGCCAACCAAGTTTTCCCTGTAAGTTGGAGGACCTCCTTATAGGGCTGGATGTAGATTAACATCATACCTAGGATGAAGCAAATGCAGGTTCAGGGCCTTGCTCAAGGGCCCAATGGAGTAGAATCACACCGGCATTCACAGGATTTGAACCAGCAACCTTCTAGGTCAGGGGTCTCCAACTCCGGTCCTGGAGACCTACTATCCAATAGGTTTTCTATCCTACTTTGCTTCTGATAAGCCACTCCTGGCCCTGGTATTTACCTGAGAACAGGTGTGGCTCATCAGAAGCCAGGTAGGATTGAAAAACGACTGGATAGTAGCTCTCCAGGACCAGAGTTGGAGCCCCCTGTTTTAGGTGCTGGCAGAGATCCCTAGCATCAGAGCCACCAGTCCACCCTGGAAGAGTAAGATTATATTTTATAATGATTGGCTGGAAAGGAATATTTGGTCTATTGTTCATTTAATGGATCATAATGGAGATTTGTTGGACGACAATCAATTTGTTCTAAAATATAACGTTAATTGTTCAGTTAAAAGATATCTTGAACTTGTTCGAGCCATTCCTGTTCCTTTTCTAAGGTTAGTTAAAGGAATTTTACAATATTTGACTTTTATCCCGAAAACTGGGTTAGGGTTACACAATTCTGGAAAAAATGTTAGTCGTGATTCTTTTGCTTAGAATTGAGATCACGATTTTCTGTAATGTTTTTTTTTCCATAAATTTTCCATAAATTTCGCTCATTAAAATGCAAAAGAAAATACTACAAAACATGAATGTGTGTCAAACATATGATTGACCCAGGACCAGCACATCAACTTCTGACAACAGAAAGGAAACTCTCAGTTGGCCATTCAATTAGGGTAACCAAAACAGCCATACCAAAAGTTCTAGTAACAAATGTGCCAGTGGGGTACTTTTTTTTTGGTACTTTTGGGTAGGACTTGAAATGCTTTCTTTGTCAAGTTATGCAAATAGCCAGCCTCTGAAACATAATAAAAGTGCCGTCTTGAAAACAGTTGCGAACTCAGAAAATAAAATGTTATCGAACTTTAGCAAACTCCCTGCACTATAATGTCCATATACAGAACTGAAAGTAAGAAAAAGCCTGATCTTAATCTAGCTGACTGGCAAAGTAAGAATTGCAAATGCACAACATGCGATGTTGGTATCAATATCGCACATCGGCCAGCCCTGTAATATACTACAGCCATTTTTCAAATTCAGTACTAAATACCCCACTTCGTGTTGTGATGTCATTCAGTTCCGGTACTGGTTTTTACGCCAGTGGAAAGCCAACACCTTGAAGCACCGTACTTTTGGTCGTTTCTTGATGTACCAAAACTAAGGTACCTGGTGTAGTGGGAAAGTGCCCTTTAAAGAGAATGCAGAACAATGAAATGGCTGAGACTCGGGAAAGTAGGTGGGCTTGTTTTGATCTACAATGCAGAAGAAGCATTGTAATTTAGAAATGAGATCGCAGAGAGATGTGAATCGAGAGCAGTTTTTTTTTTTTTTTAACAATTAATTGTGCAGCCCTAGAGTGGGTAATTATAATTTTTTAGATAAAATTTGTAAAAAGAAATGCATTAGATTAGTTTTGAAATAGCCACTCTTCCCTCTGGAAACAATATTTGTAATCCTCGCTACTTCCCAAAATGAAGCAAGTGCATTTTAAGACAATGACATCTATCCTAGTAAAGAATTTTTAAGACTCAGATTAAAAATTGAGGATAATTTATGTACATTTTGTGAGACAGATGTGGAAACCCAAGAACACCTGTTTTATTTTTGTGATGCTGTCGATATTTTTCAGGTTGCTCTGAATGGTTCACTGCTCATCAGGGTGGAAGTTCAGAATTTTGAGTACATTCATATAAAATTTGGTATTTTTTTTAGGATAAAGACACTGCATTTCTTTGTAATAATCTCATTTTAACTGCCAAGTTTTGTATTCACAGGTGTAGATTTTTTTAGGATTACTTCTAATTTTAGAGCTTTTGAGATTGACTTAAGGCTGCTCCTTAGAGTTTTAGAGAAAATGCATGGCAGTAATGCTGAAAGATTATGTGCAAAATTGAAATTGTTTTTTGCGAATGGATAAACCCCCTCTGTCTTTGGTTGTTTAGTTATATATGTGTACAGTAGAACCTCGGATTACGAGTAACGCGGTTTACGAGTCTTCCACAAGACGAGCAAAAATTTTTAGTAAATTTTGACTTGGAAACCGAGCAAGTCCTGGTTTACGAGCGCCAAGTATCATGAAAAATCA